GTAGATCTATTTTCCTCCCATCCTATGTAAGTATAGTTACATATGTATATGCCTGTATTTAGACCTCTATAAATACCCTTTGCCTCCTAGTTCTTTCCTCTAGTTCCTTTTACTTTCCTCTTGTCCCACTATCATGCTCAGCCTTCATTTGGGTTTCAGTAATTTATCTCGGTGTATCGCTCTCATTCTTAATTAAACATTGTCTGGGTTCTGTTAGCTTTCCTACTTACCCCATTCCAGAATTCTCTACCTAAGGTCCTTGTTTGCTTATTTGAAGAGCTACTTTTGGACGAGGAAGTTAATTCACAAAGATAAAACAAAAGAATTAACAAAGTTAGAAAGGAGGAACAAAACCTGTTGTGTGTTGAAGCTCTACATACCACAGTTTCATTTAGAAGCCTTGTATTACTGATGCTGCTTTTAAACCTCATTCAGAAGACAGAGTGTAGTAGACAGCAGCAGCCTTCCCTAATCCAGGGAGGGCAGTATCAAAGTTAAGGTGAGAAAGTGAGCCATACAAAAATTTGGTGATGGCCTTAGCTAGGATGTCACTGGGCAGATTGTCACTGACTTAATTCGAGATACAGAGTTTTGAAGGTAAAATGAAGTGGGTTTTGGCATTTTCTACCTTAAATAGTGGCGTGAACTCTATTGCAATAAAAGAAACAAACTCACTGCCATTTAGTCAATGCAGATTTAATCTATTTTCATAGTTTATAGTATGATTTTCCTAGATTTCCCGATTTTCTAGTGAGCTAGAAAAACAAGGTCAATACCATCGAGTCAATTCTGATTCATAGCAACACTATAGACAGAGTGGAATTGCCCACTGTTGATTTCCTAGACTAATTCTTTACAAGAGTAGAAAGCTTCACCTTTCTCCCATGGAGCAGCTGGTGAGTTCAAACTACTGACCTTGTGCTTAGCAACCCACCACTCATCCCCACTACACCTCCCATATTCCAGTTTCTTAGATAGAGCAGTTTATTGATTGAGATGGCCTCTTATTTGGCCATGGGAAGGACCGTTGAAGTGGACTGGAGGTAAAAGTCCTTAGACTTGCTGTAGTCTAGAAACAAAGAGGCTAGACTGCTAGATGATCAACCACATAGAAATGGAGACATGCAAGAGAGTAACCTACTGGGTGAAAGATGGGGATTTTTTTCACCATTAAGCAAGGATCCCATCAAGCATAATTTAAAATCATAGGCCAGATGCGAACAGTTTGATGTTGGATCAAAGAAAAGCTCAGAGGGATCTTAGTGTAAGAATAAGAACAGATAAATGATATATGGGGCTTATGTTTTCAGTGGTGACCAAATGGGACACGGAGTATAGTGTGGGAAGATAAATTGACCTTGGGCATCAGCAGATAAGTAGTTTCAGTGAAGGCTAGCTGGACAGAAACAGGCTTAGTTTCCAAGGCTTTATCTGTAGGAATTGGGGCAGGTACCTATACAATCAATATGTGTGTTTATGAGTACATCATTATAAAAAGTGACCATACAGATGCTACGTCTGACCTCCTCTAGCTAGAGAAAACCAAAACAAACAAAACCTCACTCCCATCAAGTTAGTGCCAACTCTCAGTGGCCAAATAGGACAGAATAGAACTGTCCCTGTGGGTCTCCGAGACTAACTTTACAGGCGTACAAGAAAGCCCGGTCTTTCTCCCAAGGAGCTCCTGGTGGTTTCAAAGTGCTGAGTTGGCCGATCGAAGCGCAATATGTAATTATTGCACCACCAGGGCTCCTTCCAGTGACAGAAGGGGGAAGGAAAACCGTCATCTTAAACATCAGCTGTCTCAGACCCATGCCGAGGAGGCCAAGGCCTGACATGCCCCACCTTACCAGTTCTGATGCCAACCATCGCTCACAAAGGTCTCTTCAGCTGGTTTCTGTACATCACTGTTACAGTGACACAGACCTCATAGACCATGCTCGCAACCATGAGGTGTATTAAAGAAGTGAACAGGTTATACAATTTGAGTGAGAGATGCTACGGATACAGTTATTCGGTCAGGACAGTCTTTTCTCAGTCATGCCCACAGGCACGCCACTCTCTGGCCCTCAGCCTCTTGGCCTGGCCCCTACCCTGTTCAAGCAACAATACAAAGCTCATTTAGGACTGTCAGTAAATGCCCAAGTGGTATACCACTCCACTCTAAGCGTAGATCCAAAGGCACGCAGTTCCAGTTCCATGCATCAGCAGACCCACTTGCCCCAATTAATTGCCCAGAGATAGCCCATTCCACTAGCCAATCTCCTGCCCCAAAGCACTCACCTTTACTTGTTCTGTGGCCTGGGAAGTCAACCCTTTATGTCTTGCTCTGACTCCTGGGTCTGCTGCTGTTCCCCTTGTCTCAACACTGGTTTCTGGATTAAGGAGCTTCAATACACAGGGATCTTGAGGTCCAAAGGACACATTTCACTTCCTCCTTCTTGCTGGTAGTGCAATTTCATCCTTGCTTCTGAGATAGCTCCTTTTCTAGCCAACAGGATGGCAATTACAATTAGCCATGTAAATAATCACAAACAGCTGAATTATAATAAATCCAATCAGTGTCTTCCCCCACCACCTTACCCAGACCTAGCAGGAAAAGGAAGGTCATCGGGAAGGTCATTGGGTAAGATATGAGTAGAAGATTAATAATTACACTGCATTGCACTGCATTCATTTTGTGCAAGACCAAACGTGATAAGGCATAGAGGGAAGAATGATTTCATCTGTCCCTTTAAGAAACTGTCACAGTTCAATAATTGTATCTTGCTACCACTTTTTTTGTATCTTGCGGTCTTTACTGCTGGAAAAACAAAACAAAACAACAGCAACAAAAAAGCACTGACTATTTGCCCTTCCTTAGCTTTTAGTTCCTCTGTGAGTAAATCAACGAATTGTAATACAGCTCTTAACTGTAAAACATAACTCAATAAAAAGTGACAACTGGGAGATGTGAGGTAAAACTAGATTTAAAAATACCACTAGCTTAAAATGACTCAAAAACATTGAGATACTGCCATCAAGAATCTTTGGAGCTGCTCCCTATGCAGGAAAAAGAT